TTGTTTTTGAATGTAGAGAAGCTAAAGAAAAAGAATGAAGGGAATTTAACAGATTTCAATGGGCAGTTCTAGAAAACCAAGTATTATAACGAAATTAATAATACTTGAAGAAAGAAACAAAAAAAGGAAGAACACACTCAGCATTTCTCACACTCAGCTAAAGAACTGAAGAATGTATTCAAGCCTTAAGGTGTAAATTGGAGATTCTATAGGCACAATATTAAATGATGCAGGAAGTATTAAAAGAAATGGAAAAATACACAGTCATAGTGCCAAAAAGAATTAGTGTACACTGAATAATTTTAGTAACAAACATCTGACCAAGAACCAATGGTTACTGACAACAGCAAAGTGTTGGAAACAATCGAAGTGTTCATCAACAGACAAAAATGGCTAAACAAACTCTGGTACATTCACACAGGGGATTATTTACAGCACTAAAAATGATCAAGTATTCTTTAAATACTGTACACCATTTACGAGTCTAGAACAAATTATAATGAGTGGCAAAAGTCAGTCACAAAAGGACAATTATAAGACCATTATTATAAAAGATAAACAATGGGAAGAGAGGAATGAAAATGAATAGATAAGATGGGTAAAGGCATAGGAAATAGACAGTAAAGAACTGATTAGACAGTATAATGAATTAATTATATTAATCAATGTAATTAACGTTGTTAGATAGGGGAAAAAAAAGTTGAGAGAGAGAGAAAGAAAAAAGCTGGTCCCCAGTAGCGAACAGGCCTTTATTAGTAGACCTGAGAAGGATGCCAGGTGAGGGCCTTATCAAGATCTAGTCACCTTGGGATATGTAAATTATCAGGTTTTTTCAAAGAAAAAAATGAAAATTAAATTTTTTTTTCCAAATAAAAAACTCCCCTTGCCTACGGTTAAGGCCTAGGGATAACTGTGACACTCATCCTTCAAATGTTAAAAAACAGAGTATCTATGGATGATTCTATGAAAAAGCAATATGATTCCTAAACTCTAACTGAAATAAAAGTGAGTAATTTTTTTTTAAAATTGAATATCAAAACAACCAAACTCATCTTTCTCCCAAGGAGTAACTGATGGATTTGAATGACGAGCCCAAGATGTCATCCTATGCTACCAGGATTCTAGATACAAAATTAAATATATGTATATTTAAACCTAAATAACTTTTTTTTAGTTTCTGCTTATATATTTTTAAAAAGTTTATTTTATTAATTTTAATGAACATTTACAGAGATTTTGTATTTTCATTCATTCATTGTTGCACTTTTTTCTTTACCCCTCTCCCCGAGTCCACTCCTCTCTTTGAAAAGCAAAAGATAAACTAAACATGAATAACTTTTGAAAATGTTATTTCTACTGCAAAGAAAATGGAATTAGGAAGATTTTAACTTTTTGCATTATCAAACTATAGCAGCCAAGACTTAAAGGAATCCCCAAAACTGTTCTCTGACATTCTTCAATTACTTTTTAAATTTTATATTGGTTTGCATTAAACATACTTTACATTGTTTCATTTATGTACATTGAAGGTTGTCAATAATTTAATTTTATTTGGATCTATTTATATATTATAAAAAGTGACCAGTCTTTGGAAAAGGCTATCATATGAGCTTGGAAAAGTAGAGGGTCAGTCAAGGAAAGAAGATACTCAAAGCAATGGATTGACATAGGTTTTAAGTGCACTGGAGATTATGTGGATGGCACAGGATTTGTCAAGTTTTTTATCTACTGTACAGAGAGGGCGGCTATGTCTCATCATCCTCACTTCTTAGAAATACTCTAGCTGCATTTTTTCCAAAACAGACCCATTTGTTCTTTTGGCAGACCATGGTAGTCAATATTCTTTACTAACAGAACAATTCAAAGGCAACAAACCTTGGTGTGGACTTCCTTACTCATTGTCCAATTTTCATATGCATATGAAGCAACTGAAAATAATGTTTTATGGCAGGCATGACTTTGACTTTAAACTTCCTTGTTTTTAGCACTTTGAAGAGTACTTACTTTGTAAGTATTTACTATGAACAGTAAATCTGCCAATCAGTCTTGATTTCTCTTCTACTTTGATGGTTGTTGTTTGTGGCTCCAATAAAATGAGATCATTGACAGCCTCAATATTTTTCTATTTATAATAATTTATAGTAAATTTATAAAATAGCTGCCTATTGATCTAGTCATGAGGATCTGTTTGCTTTATGTTGAGATGTAATCCAGTCTGAAGACTACAGTCTTTATTTTTCAGTATGTGCTTAAAATCTTCTTCATTTTCTGTATGCAAGGTTGTGTCATATTGTAGGTTAAGTCTTCCTCTCCAATCCTGGTGGCATATTCTTCTTTTAGTCCAGCTTCTTGGATTATCTGCTCAACATACAGTACTGGTAAAGGATACAGCCCTGACACACACTGTTTTCTGATCTTAAACCATGTATTCAGAACCTCGTTCTGTTGTAGCAATTGCTACTTAATGGACCCAAATAATAAATTCAGACTACCACATTTTATGTTTCTTGCACCATTATCTCAAAGTCGTAATAGCCATTTCCATATTTATTCTCCAGGTTTCTATTTGTACATATTATCAAAGTCATGGGTAGCCTATCTCTTCCTAGGTCATAACTTGTACTTCATCTTTTGGGGCTCAGTGAGATTTTACTCTAGTTATAGACCTAGAAACAAATATGGGTGAAGGTGATGATTATTGGGATCACTTAGCAATGGTCTGTAAGACATTGGCTACATGTGATGTCCCAGACAATGTCCCCAGCTGCACCAAAGATGATAGTTCAAATCAGTTCTCACCAATACTTAATCAATTGGCGGTGATATTTTGGTTATTAATATTGTGACCTTATGCCATGGATTATCAGGACCCTTTGTACTAATTAAGGTAGACCCCTCTGTAACAATGAAGAGAGAATCATTAGTACTTTTAAGACTAGGCAAACTTGAGTGTATAAAATGTACCTTAGCTTTTTGTAATCATGGCCTTCCTACTCTAATAGTCCTTTTGTGACTTACTTACTTTAGCATAAAGTTACCTATTTTTATGTTATGCAGTGTTTTGTGAATTATTTATTATTTTTAGTGTTGAATATAGTGTTGCATAATACTCCACTGCCTTCTTTATTCACTCGTTCACTGATAGATATTAGGGATTGTTTTAATATTTTGTTATTGCAACTAATGCTGCAGTAAACATGGATGTACATATATTTGTGTGCAGCAGCTCTTATTTCTTCATGATATATACCAAGTAGTGCAATTTATGGATCAAATGATATTTCTATTCCCAACTTTCTGAAAGAACACCAATTTGCTTTCCATTACATCATTTTACATTCCCAGCATGAGTTCCAATCTTCTTACACTCCTGCCAACATTTGTTGTTTGACTTTTGTCATTGTTACTGTCATTGTTGTTTCGATTTGTATCTCTGACAGCTAATGATCTTGAACATTTCTTCATCTTGGCCATCTGAATGTCTTTTTTAGTGAACTGCCTTTTTCATGTGCAGCTCATTTTGGAATTTAGTCGTTTGCCTTTTTTCTTATTGAACTGTTGGAGCCTATAAACTTTAGAGCTTAGCCTCTTGGTCAGAGAAAGAAAAATGTGAGAATACAACTAAGAATATAATAAAACAGACTAGGCTTATGGGTCAGATAGAGGCTGGTGGAATCCTTGACTATGGCCCTTAGTCACTCTTAGGTCTGGAACTGAAATCACCCTCATAGATCAAATTTCTGCCAAATAATGGACAGGTCTATAAGGTGAGCAATAACATCAAGGAAGTATTACTCCTTAGAAGGATCAGCCATTCCAGACCAGAAGGACAGCTTTTACTCAAAGGCAAAGTTTAGAAAGCAGGAAAGGTTAGGAAAGAGGGATGAATGGTAACAGAAGACACAGGGAAGAAGTAGACTGAGGGGTGTTACACTGTGAGTATCAATGACAGGGAATGAAATATGTATGAATGGAAAACTGATTTGCTCCAAAATGTGTAGGGAGTGAATGGAAAATTTATTTTCTCTGTCAGTTCACAATAAAAAGAAAACAAAACAATCAACTTTTTAGAAGTTCATTAGTGATTTCCAGGGCTACAGCGAGAGGGAAAATGGGGAGTTTTTAATTACAGGACACTGAGTTTCTATGCGGGGTAATGAAAAACCTTTGGAAAAAGATAGTGGTGATGGTTACACAACACGGTCAATGTCACTGCACTGTATATTTGAAAACAGTTAAAATGACAACTGTTTCATTATATTTTGCCACAATAAAAAAGCAGTTTCTGAATTTACAGGTAAAAAAAAGAAAAGCAGCAAGCATGTGCATGAGGATTTGGCAGTGTACTTTTTAGAAAAGTTTACCACCTCTGAGCTGGTCCTTTGTCATTTTAAAATAGCTATTTCTCTTTGTGCTGTGTTTTCCTGTTGTTTCCAGTTCCCTGTAGGCAGAGGGATAGTCATCACCAGAGGTAGTACAGCGAGTGAGTATGGACCATGGAGCTGGAATCTTCCGAGTCTGTGGATAGTCTACCATTTTTGACCTACAATAAGGGCAATGTTGAATAGTTTAATGTGCTGGTATAATTATTATCATCTGGTGAACACTTACTGAATGTTGTTTGTTAACTGACTTTAACAGCTACTCAGTACTCAGAGGAAGGTTCCAACCCTGCCTGCTGAGAAGCGCTGTGCCATACCGCCTTCCCCTACTTCTCATTGGACACGCTCATCTTCTGGCCTCCAGGTAATGCATCTAAAGATAGAAACTTTCCCTACTTTTCCAACTTCACTATGCCCCCTCAGAATATATGAGAAAATGCAGCCCACATCTCCTGGAAGCTTAGGAAGGCAGTGAGATACCAAAGCCACCTCCCGGGCTGATATTTGAGCCCTGCTTTCAGCACGGTCAAGCCTTACGGAGACAGCCAGTGTATGGCTTGTATCAAACTCTATATTTAGGAAGAACAACTGTGAGCTATGACAGGAATTCTCTTTAACACTTAGCATTAAACTGAGCTCCTCTCCAGCCCCGAGCCAGGAGCAGCTCTCAATACCCGGGGAGGCACCGGAGCACTTGAGCTATTTCAGCCACATGAATAGCATTGGAATTGAGATCGCAGCTCAGAGGACACCGGGCATCCATCCCTTCCAGCTTCTGAGAAGCATTGTACTCTTGCACCTGGCTCTTTGGGAATTGCCTTAAGGAGTAAGCAGATCAATAAGGCAGGTAAGCAAGAGGGAGGCAGCTCTGGTGACTGGCCTTTCTAAAGGAAATTCTTTGATGACTAACTTGAAGTGATGGCTTAAAACTTTGTAGTCTTGGGAGCAGTGATTGTAACTTGCTAGTCAACTGTTCATTGATGGTGGTGCTGCTACTGTTTTAGAAGTTTTGGGGGACAGGAGCGGAGGAGGCGGAGGAGAAGGGGAGCTGAAGGAATACTGAGCTCAAAGTTTCCATTGACAGAGCTAGTAAGCACATTTCCACCCTTCAATCCCAAATTTTGGGATTTGTGATCCTGAAACGGCACTGACCAGGGTTATGGTTGGTGCACTGTAGATATATTGAGGCTATGATTCTACAAGGAATCAAGAGCTCTGGGGGCAGAAAAAAGCTCTAAGGCTAGTTCTGTGGTTTACTGTTTACGGAAATGCAAATTAGTGCCACAGTTGTTAGGCTGTACACATTTAAAATGCTTTCTCCTTTCCTTAAGCGCTTGTCTTGGTCTTCAGTGTTTTCTCTACTTCTCTGGGCTAATGCTCTAGCACCACACTGTTGAGAACTCCATCTTGGTCACAGTTCTCTGTCCCCAGGGAACCCAGGGCCGCACTCCTGGTATCTTTCTCCGCGGGCATCAGGTCACGAATGTGGCAATGCTAAAATTATTTCTTTCCTCTCCGTTTATTCAAGGCAGAATGAATAAGGAGCTAGGCAGTTCGGACAGCTGAACATCTTTCTACACCCTCCTCAGCAATTATTTTTAGCTGCAGGACAGAGAATTTCCTCTGAGAGTCAGCTTTATCCATTTATTTGACCTTCAAGAAATAAACATCACAAGGCCCCTTAATACCAAATATTGAGTTTCTTATTTCTGAATTCTCTAGTAAGTTGTTGCTGCAAAGTTTTAGTAAGTACAAGAGGCAGATGTAGACGTCCGATACTAGGTGCTGGCCAAAAAAAAAAAAAA